TTTAAATAGATATAAAAACACGCAACCTTTGTCACCAAGCAACACTGGAAGGAACTCCTCTTTTAGAGACCGCACATGTATTTCAGAGATGCAGAGGCACCTCATCTAAGGAAGTCGGTGATTACTACTTTGGGTCTTTAATGTTATTGTTTTGTTTCTAATACCATCTGATTGAATTTTCCTAAAAAAGACCAAATGAGTTTCTATAATTAATTCAAAACATTCTAAAAACCTTTTATTTTCCTTTGCTTTCTGGATAGAAAAATGCTATATATCCATAAAACAAGAAAATGTTCATTTGGCCAGACCACCCCAGGTTACCCTAAAACAACAAAGAGGAGTATTTTGGGTGAAGCTGAAATCACGATATCATTTTTCCGTATAGATCTATAAAGTCAATCCTCAGTTCTTCTTCCCTTATAAGGCCTATTTTTAATTGACTTACACAAATGATTAATGATGATCCAACTCCCATACTCTCATTTTCTTATTTGTAAATCATTTCTGATTTTTGTTTGTAACAACATAAGAAGCCATGGTTCCTATCTCATTTGGTACAACCCACAAGAAGTAATTAGGAGTACCCATCTCAGGACCACAGAGTGTCTAGTTCTGTACTAAGATTAAAAACCATATTTCCAACTGAGATGGTATCTTTATTTCCTTGTCACATGGCCTACAGGAGCTTATATAGTTGGCCCTTACCTGCCAGTCCTCCCTTATTTTGCACCCCTTAAGCCCCTTAGATGGGGCTTTCCTCATAGCTCAGTCAGTAAAGAATCTGCCTGCAATACAGGAGACCTGGGTTCAATTTCTGGGTTGGGAAAATCCTCTAGAGAAAGAAATGGAAACCCACTCCAGTATTCTTGCCTGGAGAATCCCATGAACAGAGGAGCCTGGCAGGCTACAGTCCTTGGGGGTCACAAGAATTGGACATGACAGCAACTAAATCACCACCAAGCCCCTTAGATACCACGTCTATTGTGTTTACCTCACTCTCATCAGCACCTTGGACAGCATGTTGTAAGGGTCCCAAATGATATGTGAAAACAGGATCTGAACTTCATGGGTTTTGAGGTTGTTGTTGTTGCTCAGTTGCTCAGTCTTGTCTGATTCTTTGCGACTTGATGGACTGCACCTGCTAGGCTCCCTTGATCTTCACTATCTCACAGAGTTTGCTCAAATTCATATCCACTGAGTCAGTGATGCCATTTATCCATCTCATCCTCTGTCACCCCTTTCTCCTTTTGCCTTCAATCTTTCCCTGAATCAGGGTCTTTTCCTATGAGTCAGCTCTTCGCATCAGGTAACCAAAGTTTTGGAACTTCAGCTTCAGCATCAGTCCTTCCAATGAATATCCAGGGCTGATTTCCTTTTAGGTTGACTAGTTTGATCTTCTTGCAGTCCAAGGGCCTCTCAAGAGTCTTCTCTAGCACCACAGTTTGAAAGCATCAATACTTTGGTGCTCAGCCTTCTGTTTGGAACTGGGCAACAACAACAACTGTCACATCCATGCATGACTACTGGAAAAACCATAGTTTTGACTATACAGACCTTTGTGATGGGACCAGATGCCATGATCTTTTTCAATGTTGAGTTTTAAGCTTTTTCACTCTCCTCTCTCACCCTCATCAAGAGATATTTTAGTTCCTCTTTAGTTTCTGCCATTAGAGTGGTATCATCTGCCATATCTGAGGCTGCTGATATTTCTCCTGACCATCTTGATTCCGCCTTGTGATTCATCCAACCTGGCATTTGGCATGATGTACTCTACATATAAATGAAATAAGCAGAGTGATGATATATAGCCTTCTTCTACATCTTTTTCAATTTTGAACCAGTCCGTTGTACCATGTCTGGTTCTAACTGTTGCTTCTTGACAGGCATACAGGTTTCTCAGGAGACAGGAAAAGTGGTTTGGTACTCCCATTTCTTTAAGAATTTTCCACAGTTTGTTGTGATCCACACAATTAAAAGCTAATTTAGCATAATCAATGAAGCAGAAATAGGTGTGTTTCTGGAATTCCCTTGTTTTCTCCATGATCCAATGCATGCTGGCAATTTGATCTCTGGTTCCTCTGTCTTTTCTAAACTCAGCTTCTTTCTACATCTGGAAGTTTTCAGGTCACATACTGCTGAAGCCTAGATTAAAGGATCTGGAGCATAACCTTACTAGCATGTGAAATAAGCACAATCATATGGTAGTTGAACATTTGTTGGCATTGCGTTTCTTTGGGACTGGAACGAAAACTGACCTTTTCCAGCCCTATGGCTATAGCTCTGAAGACAGTTATAACTGCCCTGAGAATCTTTCTTTGGGAACCTGGGTTACAGGTGAGTTTATCATCTATGCAGGATAGCAAAGAGCTCTTCCAGGACCTGTTAAGTCTTCTTATTTCTCTTAGGGCCTTCCTCTTAGAGGTCTCCATGCTCAAGGGGCACGTAAAGACCTTTCAAAGCAGAACTTTGAATTAAGACTCATCTTTACTGCTCCCTTCTTACGCTTTCATTTCCACATTGGTCTTCATTTTCTTTTGGGTACCTAACACCTGAGTTATTGGATTAAGAGAAGAATTTTTTCCAGCCTCTTCATTTACATCAAAGAGTACATCAGTAGCAGGGTAAAGGATATTTCTTATATATATTTGCATCTGGTTGTTCCTGCAATGCAGAAGACCTTGGTTCAATCACTGGGTTGGGAAGATCCCTGAAGACAGAAATGGCAACCCACTCCAGTATTCTTGCCTGGAGAATCCCATGGACAGATGAGCCTGGCAGGCTATAATCCGTGGGGTCACAAAGAGTTGGACATGACTGAACACACACACACACACACACACACACACACACACACACATTCCAATTTGCATAATGGGAATGTCTGGCATTAGCCACTGAAAACAGAAGGTTCTCCACAGAATAGAAACAGCATCTTCTCTAAGGAGGTGGCCAATCATGCCTTCTCCCAAGGGAAAGGGAAGCACTCAGATCCCCACACCCCCACACAAAGTCCTGTCTAGTGCTCTGATGCAGTCTCTCCTCTAGGAACTCTCTCTACCACAACCGTTCATCCCTCAGCCAGTTATACTTTCAACACTGGCCTAGTGGGCTACATCCCACAATGACATCAGCAGGGTCACAGAAACACTGCCTTCAATTGTGTCATTCCCTCGGTCTCACGTAAGCAGCCAAAGTTTCAAAAAACAACCAAAAAATGTACTAAGATCCAAAATAAAACAAAACAAAAAGAACAAAGTGGTAAAATCTACAGATAAAAGTTTAGAACTGTCTAGGCAAAAATTACTTTTAAGCTCTGACCTAAGTGCTCAGTGCCATGGGCCAACCAACCATCCTCTCTCTTCATACAATTCAGGTGCCCCCCTCACCTTCTTTCTTCTGCTTTATCCAAATGAATTTGGACAATTACCAAAGCATGCAGATAGAATTACTTTCAAGTGTATTTGCTGCTTGTTTGGTATATTTGGAAAATATACCTTGGTTTCTGATAGTGCGATTTATCTTTCAGTTTTGCTACATAGCCAATAAGGGTTGGACACATAGCAGACCCTTACAATACTTGTTAAACATGACTGGACGAATAAATGAATTAATGACATTGACTTCCCAATTAAAATGTTCTTCTGTCTCCAGTTCTAGAAACCTTAGGCTTCTCCCAGACCAGGTTCCTATATCCAGATTTCTGTCCCACACAATGGTTATTTCCCACTGACTCTAAAGTCTGCTCAGGGACTCAGTTTAGGAAAAAACTTGAGCTTCCTTGAGTTTATTCATGAAGGTGTTCCTGAAATCCCAAAGTCACCTTACTGTTTTTTATAAAAACTTCAAACTTAGAGTGAATGTAATAGATAATCAATGTCTAGTGATGGAATTAACTGGCAATGTGTCAAATAGTTAATTAAGTTACTCTGGATAAGATATATGCATTTTAATTATGTTTTGGAAACAGCATATACTTGCCCCTTGTGGTCCATCTAAGTGGTATTCAAATCATAAAGTTCCAGGGCTTATGCCTAGATGTATCTTCCCTCCCCAGTATCTCTGCCCAGAGGAAAAAGAGAAGATTTTCACTATTCAAGCTTCCCCCCAGCTTTAGCCAAAGGGTCAATCTATTTTGGGCTTCCCAGGTGATTCTGACGTAAAGAATCTGCCTGCAATGCAGGAGACACAGGAGATGCAGGTTCAATCCCTGGGTGGGAAAGATCCCCTGGAGGAGAGCATGACAACCCACTCCAGCCTTCTTGCCTGGAGAATTCCCTGGACAAAGGAGTCTGGCAGGCTACAGTCCAAAGGGTCGCAAAGAGTTGGACACAACTGAAGTGACCGAGTGTACATGCATGCATCCATCTATTTTACCTGGCTCCAAAGATTTCCTTTGAACTAAGAATATATAAAAAATAAAAACAACTACAACATGAAAACCACTGATCAAACATTAGTGAGTTGTTTCCGAACAGGCTGGTAAGAAATTGTGAGGTTGTAGGTTCCTCCCATATTTCATCAAACACAGTGCTCATAATAATCAGAAACTGAATCTTAGAGCTAGCCTTATATTCACAATGTAATGAATAATTTAAAACTTTATGTACCCAAATCGGTGTCACACAAGTAGATCACAAGTTGTACTCCAGTTACTGTCTATTGGATCTAATTCTAGGATCTTCAGATTCAGTGATGCTTATATAAGTTCACATAATATTCCCTATGAATATGTTTATGCCAATTATAATTTTGTACCAGATATGCTTTCTCAGGGATTCCCAGGAGGCTCAGTGGTAAAAGAATCCCCCTGCTAATGCAGGAGACATAGGTTTGATCTCTGGGTCAGGAATATCCCCTGAAGGAGGAAATGACAACCCATTCCAGTATTCTTGCTTAGAAAATCCCATGGACAGAGGAGCCTGGTAGGCTACAGTCCATGAGGTTGCAAAGAATCAAATGCGACTTAGCGATTGAGCACACATGCATGCATGCTTTCTCACCTGTTCTATTTCTTGTAGAAAACTGATTTTCTCTATCATTTTCAGGGATGGAGTCTCTCCTGATGATCACAGAGGATGTAACTGAATACGATTATTAAAAAGTTTACAGCAAAGTGACTTACTATTGGTAGGAACACATAAAGAAAATTTATTGCAGTTTATTACTTTTCCCTTATAACGCAATTTCACAAATCTTTCATCTATAAAGATAAGAAAACAAATCATCAGTGATCGCCACTAAAGGTTGCTCCAGCAATATCATGCAGAGCTCTTGAACTCACAGCATGTAGCATATGGATACTGGAAGATGAGCATTTTATTGAAAACACATGATCAGTTCTTTAAACATATTTAAATTCATTTAATTTAGGATTGATTAATATGAGCATTGTTTGGGTTTTATCTATAATCTTCTTGGCAATAATCCTGTTTCCATAGCAACACAGGCTTGTATTTTATCCTTATGCATGTGTGTGAGATTATAACAACTTTTGTAATAAAGTTTACATATCATTTGCACATAAATTTCATTTTTTATGAGAAGTCCAAGATAGAGGTTTCTTTCCTTTAATCATTTACTAGCTTGCCACTAAATACATAATTCACATATCCTCAAATAATGAGAATTCAACAGAGCCATTCCTAACCAAAGACATTGAAATCTACATGATGGTCAGATCTTTGAATTTCAACTTGTACTATTGAAGGAACGATAATGAAATACTTCACAAATGTCACCCTGGATATGATCCCTGTGTTGTATTAACATGAATCCATTCATTCTTACAGATCAGTATTCTTTTGTTCATTTCAAATAGTTAACAAGTTAGCTGTGTCAGTCAAAGCGAAGTAGGATAGTAAGCAGCTGAAACATTGTCTAGTTACCTACGCCTACCCAGAAAGAGGACTTTTCTGTCAGCTGAGCTGCAAGGATATGTATTCCTACTATAACTCTTTCTAATATCATTTTTTAAAAAAATAAGGCAGTTTATGATCTGGGATTAGGACAATAGTCGCTTTTGGTTTCGGCGATGCTTGATAAGAGGCACACCTGGTGCTTCCAGGAAATTGTAATATATCCACATCTGAGGTATTAAAAGGCTATACATTTACAATTTGTGATAGTTTATATATTATGTTATTCTTTAATACAAAATGTAAAAAGTAACTTTCTATTTAGATACTGCTATGTCTAGAATAGGAATGTTGAAGATTTTATGAAATTAAAATTGCTATTTTGACTCATCCCATTACTTTTTACTTAAAGCTAATGCTTTTCATCACCTAGGAAATTTGCAGATATCTAAATCAAAGACTCAACAAACCAAGAAAAAATGTGCTTTTAAAATGATCTGGTTTGTAGTCTTAAGTTTATTTTCTGTTTAAAGGATGTATACAGTATGAAAGGGAACTATCAAAAAATAGACATGATTTAAAAGTGTGGATATTTTTCTAAATATATGATAATATTTTACTGAGTTTATTATCACCTTTCAAGAATATCAGCCATTAAAAAAAGAAACATCAGCATATTGTATTTCAAAACATCTATTACATTAAACAGTGTAATAAAGTATTCTGAGTTGCACAAAATTCAATTAATAAATAAGAAAATAATGTAAGTAATATACATGAAGAAGGTTAGTTCTCACAAACTTTTCAGTCCTCTACTGAAAAATCACCAACTGTCTCTGAATAGTTGAAAGGACATAATACTGAAGACAGGGTAGATCTATCCTCTTGTTTCCAAGGGGCACACTGAGGAAGAAAACTGAGTAAATAGAGGCAGAGACATTGGGGGAGGGCAGAAGGAGACACAGTCTCACTAGAGGATCAGTCACTTTGGTAAGCAGAGAGGCACCCTACCACTGGAAATGTTTGCCCATGTTAAGAGTAGCTGTATTCATTTCCTATGGCTATTCTGGCAAATGACCACAAACTTACTGGCTTAAATGATAACACATTTATTATCTTATAGTCTATTAAGTCAGAAGTCTTACTAGGCTAAAATCAAGGTGTTAGCAGGGCTGTGACTTTTTCTGGAGACTCTACAGGAGAATCTATTTACTTGCCTTTTCTTGCTTCAGGAAGTCATATGCATTCCTTGACTTGTGGCCTCTTCCTCTATCTTCAAAGCCAGCAGCATAACATCTCAAAGCTCTCTCTCTGACTCTGACACTTCTGCCTCCCTCTTATAAAGGTCCTTGTGATTCTACTGAGTTCACCTGCATAATCCAGGAAAATTTTCTCAACATCCTTAATTTAGTCACATCTGTACAGTCTTTTTTGCTATGTAAAGTTAAAGCCAAAGGTTTTAAGGATTATAATGTGGGCATCTTTGAGAAGTCATTATTCTATCATAATGATATCTTAAAATGTATATAGTGGCTGGCTAAACCAGATTGTTAAAATTCCTTCCAATTTTTATATCCTCTAAATAAGACAAATAAGTCAAATATTTGTTAACAACTGGAAAAAAAGAAAAAAGAAAAAAAAAAAAACTGACCATACAAAAGGCCTGATTTTCCCCACTCCAGAGAGTATTACTGTCTTTCTGTATGTCTAGTTGAAATGGCTGGATATTTTAATTAAAACTCATTATTTAGAAAAAAGTCCAAGATTCTTTTGAGGATAGTGACCACATCCTGACTTATCCGAGACAAAAAAAAAAGTACCATTACTAGCAAAACCTTATTGGAAACTGTGTGATTGATAAGTTTAAACCATTGGAGAGGGCAGGCAATTATGAAACAACCACTTTGCAGCTGCTCCAGGATGGTGCTTTCTCAAAGGCTACAGTGGCCAGTGACAAGGAAATGATTGTCTCTTTTTCAAAAGAAAGAAAATGAGAACAAGATAGAGAGAAATGGTGTGAAAACAACTATCTTTCCTTCTTACTACACACTTCTAAATGGGAAGGGAATGGTCAAGTTCCTAACGTAATTCATTTCACAGAGGCTATTAAATATGTGCCAATGAAAAATATGGCTCAACTAACTCAGGTATGAATTTCATCCATTTATATATAGCCATTCTTCAGCCTCTTGTGGCCTTTAACAAAAGATGTTCTGGAACAGTTACATGGAATAAAGCACTTTGCAATTTGAAATAATAGGAAGTATTATATTATACTTGAGGCAATTGACCAAAGCATCTTGGTAGAATTTGAAGTAAGAAGCATCACCATGAAAAGAGTGACCACAAAATCCAGTAGAACAGTTTGCATTCTAACAGATTCTAACTAACTTGGGGAAAAACAATTCTCTAAGAAAATGTTTTCTTCTTGCAGCTACCAGAAGGACCAAAGGGAATGTATATAACAATTAAATTTCTATTGAAATTCTTTTGTTTTCTATTGAAACCAATAATAAACCAGAAGCTATGCCCAGCTCTGAGAATATAAAGAAAATGACAAACATGACTTCAAGGATCTCACAACTCATGGAGAAATGGAGACAAATAAACGCCGTTGATTATGAGCAATGATGTGACTGTGGCCTGAAACAGAAGCACCGATCCCTGGGACTTCGTGTAGATTCACATGAGAACACAACTCTTTCCATTTGAAAGAATAATTTAAACATATCCCAAGAAAAAAGGATTTGTAACAAACAGAATATCATGTGCAATGACAAAAAGGTCCACAAACACATGTCACAGTAAAGAATTTTGAGTAGTTCAGTACGACTGGACCATAGGATTAGGCAGAAGAAAAGAGTTAAAGCTGAAGATGTCCAAAGGGGCTAGATCATGAAAACTCTTAGATACCACCCAAGGACTATGAACATGTTCAGATAATGTGAATGTAAGTAATATGGACACCTCTTGTCTCTTCATATTCAGATGAAGCAAATCAACAAGAAGGGTCAGATTTCAATGGAGCCTCCTCCGTTCTCTCCATCATTCAGTAAGGTGCTCAATAGTTACTTTCTCTTTACAAATGGTATTTATATCATTCACAAAGAGGAAATGCCTATCACCTTTGCTGGCCAGGGAACATGTTACAGAATAAAATTATTCATAGCAAAATGGGGATCTGAAAAGGATATCATATGTAGGGAGAAACTGACAGTATTTTTCTGCTATTGAGGAGATAATATGAGACAAATGAACTGCTGCGTAACTGTGGGAAAGGCTTCCCAAATAGCTCAGAGGTAAAAAATCTGCCTGCCAATGCAGGAGATGCAGAAGACTTGAGTTTGATCCCTGGGTCGGAAAGATCCTCTGGAGAAGGGAAAGGCAACCCACTCCAGTATTCCTTGGAGAAGGCAATGGCACCCCACTCCAGTACTCTTGCCTGGAAAATCCCATGGACAGAGGAGCTTGGTAGGCTGCAGTCCATGGGGTCACTAAGAGTCGGACACAACTGAGCGACTTCACTTTCACTTCTCACTTTCATGCATTGGAGAAGGAAATGGCAACCCACTCCAGTGTTCTTGCCTGGAGAATCCCAGGGACAGGGGAGCCTGGTGGGCTGCCGCCTCTGGAGTCGCACAGAGTCGGACACGACTGAAGCAACTTAGCAGCAGCAGCAGCAGCCAGTATTCCTTCCTAGAGAATCTCTTGGACAAAGGAGCCTGGCAGGCTGTATTCCATGGGGTCACAAAGAGTCGGACACGACTGAGTAACTGACACAGCATGGCAGGGGAAAGGCAGGGGAATAGCAATGGTATGTGGGTTCTGCAAGATGATATGGGGGAAGCTCTAAATTTTCAGCTAGAGATGAAAATTATTAATATGTGTGATTGATGAACAGAGAAGGAACATGCATGCTCAGGTTGGGGAGCAGACAGAATGGGATGGTTCTTAAAATTTGCAGAGACCTATGCCTCTGAAGTTAGAAGTATATGCCAACATTTAGTCATGAACCAAAAAAGATGTTGAAGAAACTAGTAACCATGCTAGTGAAAGGAATAAGGATCAATGGCAAGAAGAATAACAGGGAGGTAAAAGACTGTTAAGAAAAAAAAGCTAATTGGCAGTACTCCTTTCAAAATAAACTATATTCTGCTTCTTACACCCACACAAAAGTGAAATCAAACTTGCTAAAAGGAATTTG